CAAAAAAAACCCCAACCAACTCAAAAAAGTCTGACAAATGCTAACCTAAACTAAAATGTGCTGGATTAAAAGCAACAATCCAAATCAGCATGAAACCACAAATAAAAATCAACAGACTGTGCCAAAGACCTTGGGGGGATAAAAAGGTTTATAAGTCCGCTTTACAGAGGGGCTTTTTCCACATTCATAATGCAGCCCCCAGAGACACCACGGCAAAGTTATGAAAACACTCCCCTTCGCATAAACCCCAAGATTTTCCAGCTCCAAAGCCTTAAGCCCACAGCAGCCCAGAAAGGAACCTAAATCTAATCTATTCCGTTCAAAGTAAAATTTCAGACTTAATCCTGCCTCTACAGGCAGCCAACTACATTCTCCAGCAGGCAAAGTCCTCTCATCATAGGAAAGTTGTCTTGAAATACTCCATGTCCAGTACAGGAGACTCCCCTTTTTGGGCCAGCCTCTGAATTTGGATCCCACAACATGGGATCTACTCAGCAGCCCAGGGATCTCCCTTCTTTCCCCCTGTGCAGCCCTGCTCCCGCTTTCCAAGCAAGCTACGGGGCAGCCCGGTGGCCAGGAGGGCATCGCTGGGGAAGGGCAGTGAATGCAGCTGCAGCCAGAACCCAACAGCACAAGTCACACAAAGCCGCACTTTGGGGGAGATACAGAGCCGCCTTCCACCCCTGCACCTCTGAAACAGGGGGACAGGAGAATGCTCAGAAATCTTTGGGCTAAATAACAAGGATTTTGCTGATTACTGGCATTCAGTTCTTCAAGTAAGCAGATAGTTACTTTTTCCATCCTTGACAAAGTCTTGGACTAATGCCTTAACCTCAGGGGCATCGAAAGAAAACAACAACAACGATGATGACAAAAAGCAAAAAGAAACAAATAAAAACAATCACATATAAATCAAATCAAGAGCAAAACACAGCCTCAGTAAGCAAATGAATCACCATTATCATTGACCAAGTTATGCAGAATTACCATGTGTCTTGACATGCAACGAAGGAGATGGAGTAAAAAAATTAATTCTACCGTGCTTTTTGTTTTGTTTGAACACAGCTGTATCACAACAGTCTTTCCTTCTTTACCTGTGACCCGAACCTCAAATTCCAACATGGGCTATCTTTCAGACACCCTGTCCGAGCAAAGATGGGAAACGAGGATGAGGAGCAGCAACATCCAGTCCTAACCCACTCTCAGAGGCAGCATGGCTGGTTTGAAAAACACTAGGAAGGGTCACAGTCTATCTGATAAGGGAAAAAAATCAAAGTTTATCGTAAGGAATGCTCCTCTGGCATACTGGGTATGTGATGCTGGACTTCACAAATCTAAGATACCTTGTTTTAGCAATAAGGATTTCAGTGCTGTTCTCCAGACCATTAGGTTTCCCCCTCCCTCTGGCTAGAGAGACCACTGCCAGTGTGCACACTTTCAAGATCAGCCCTGGCTGTGGGTTTCAAAGTGGAGAGAATTTGTGAGTGGCATTTGGAGCAGAGGGCGAAGTTTGATGGGGACCCTGTAGTGAGTGGGTTTCACCAGAATAGACTGGAATCCATCCAGGACCCAGAACGAGATGAACAGTGTCTACCCAGAACTGACAAGTACAAATACGGGGGAAGACCCCTGTTCACATCTGACAACTTACTTTGCGCGCGCCTGGCGTCCTCTGCCTCCAAAAAAACTGAAGGGACTGAAACCTGTGCCATTTCTCCCCTCCCGATCTGAAAAACCTCGGGTGCAAAGACTAGGGCACAGAGAAGAGGGGACCGGAAAATCGGAGGCACGGCCACCCTCCAGAAGGGCGCGGGTGGGCTGAGCACGCCGTGCCCCGCTCCCCATCCCTGCCCAGCTGGGGAGAAAAAAAGCAGAGAGCATCCCGCCATGCAGGCACCGCTTCCCCACCGCAGCCCGCGCT